CCAGCCTCAGGGCCTTTGGATGTGCTCTTACCCCCATCTGAGATGATCCTCTCCCCTTGTTTCATTCTCTCGCTAACTCTCTCCTTGGGAATGGAGACCTTCTTAGATTTTCTTCCCCATTCTTCCAGTTCCTACCTCAGCCTTGTGTTACCCTTCCTCATAGCTATTGTAACAGCTGGCTTTTTTTTTTTTTCATTCACTTACATGTTTTTGTCTGATTCTTCTACTCCAGCCCAAAGTCTCCATTTGCATATCTGCACCATGGTAATGGTATTTCCATTCTGCCTGTTGTGAAACTCAAATCCAACTCATCCTCAGGCATCTCCTCTCCTTTGATCTCAATAGAGGGGAACCCATGACTAAATCCAAGCCTGAAGTCCAAGAAACAAGAGCGCCAGTGTCCAAGGACAGAAGAAGACAAAAGCAGAGGGCAAATTTTCTTTTCCTCTAAAACGCTTCTGGGTGGTCAACAATTGGATGATACTCATAATATAGATGGGGTGATTTTGCTCAATCAAGTGATTCAGATGCTAACTTCTTCCAGAAACACAGTCACATGCAGAAAAAAGAGTATCGTACTCTCTGGGTATCCCTTAGCCCAGTCAAGTTGAAACCCAAACCTAATTAGCACAGAGAGCAAGCAACAGAAACGGATTCTGCAGGAAGAAAACAGAAGGTAGGTCCCTGGGACTCAGAGCCCCAAATAGAACCAGAAAGAGCAGGCTTGGAGTCACTAGCATGCCAGCAATCTCAGGAGCTAGAGATTGCAAAACCACAGTAGAGCAGTTACAGCATCTGGCTACAGGGCTACTTGTGGCAAATGACCTCCATGTGCGTTAGGACCACCTGCTCCAGAGTCAAAGTCAGGGGGTTGTGTCAACAGTGTGGACCTAAATGGATTTAGCTCTATCAAGACCAGAATAAGGAGAAGGTGGTTTTGATACATTGAGTTTTCATACCATAGGGCATTCCCCAAAGGGAACATCCAGATGCTTTTTGAATGGGAGAAATTGGATTCTGAACAAAACAATAATAAATGCTTCTGTCCTTTGTAGTTTCATCTGTTATAGCAAACACACTTGTCAAGAAGTTGTGTTTGCTCAAAAAATTGAGGGAGAAAAAGATGGAAATCCAGGGTCAGAGCGATGGCACAGCAAGCGAATACTTCCCCCAGTGATGCCGGCATCCCATATGGGAGCTGGTTCATGTCCTTGCTGCTCCACTTCCAACCCAGTTTCCTGCTTATGGCCTGGATCTCTGCACCCACATGGAACACCTGGAAGAACTTCTGGCTCAGCTTCAAATCAGCTCAACTCTGGATGTCGTTGCCATTTGTTGGGGGTGGAGGACAGGTGGTGAACCAATCAATCTGTCTCTCCTCTTTCTGTAAAATCTACCTTTGAAATAAAAAAATAGATAAATCATTTTAAAAAGATGAAAATTCACCCCCTACAACAGTAAGTCTATTTTGCTGTACACAGCAAAAGTTACACAATTCACCCCTAAAAACTTGAAAAGAGACTCAACTGAACTATTAATGAGACCTAGACACCATTATCTCACCTATTGCTTTCAGAAAACCTAAAACCTTATTGATATACTTGTTGGAGGTGCCACAGGGTAACAGGAGCCCTCAGATTGTCAGAGCAAACACAAAAGAGAATATGCCTCCTGGAGACAAAACTGACCATAACAAACAAAACCACATATGCTTCCACCCTGGGATACAGCCATCCCACCCAGAAAATACAGCTTTACAATCCAGATTGAATAAAGTGTGATATATCCATGCAAGGAAGTACTCTACAGGAACAAAAATAAAAACAAAAACAGAATGAAAAAAAATGTCAACAAATATTGGTAGATAACAAAGCCAAGTACAAAGGCACAGAAAACCTCGCAACATAAACAAGCAGGTCATCAAAAGAAAAATCCGATTTGATTCCATTTACATGAGGCATAGTTAACATGGTTAAAGTCATCGAAATAGCCATGAGATATAGCCATGCTGGTTTCCAGGAGCTAGAGGGAGGGGAAAATGGAGGATTTTTTTTTATTTGATATTTTGCTGTTCTATAAGACAAAGGGTTTTCAGCTTGTTGAACAACAATGGAAATATACTTATTATGCAGTTCATTAATTCATATGAAAAATTCACACAATTGCTTGTAGATAAAGTCACAGCAAAGTCTTTACCCCTTCAATTGTATCCAACCTCCAGTTCACTATCCATCAGCAGCATCATTAGCCTTGACAGTTCCCCTGACCTTCTTCATTCTGGTCCATAAAATGTCAAAGGATACAGAAAGCAAAGCCTAATATACAACATCACCAGAAAGGAATGGACCAACTGCATGTGGCTGAGGTCACGTAACCACACACTCCACAAGTGTCATTGCACAAAATTTTCTGGCTCCTCACTTGTAGGAGGTTATAGTCTTGACACAGCCAGTGTGGTTCAAATTCAGCAGCTGTCACAGCAGAAAGTAGAATTCTCCCCAGGGCAAGTGTTGGGGAGGCTGCAGTGCAAAGGTTTGTTATAGAGGTTGGGCAGGCACTGAAGACTAGGCATAATGGAAAAAAAGGAGGGGCCAAAGTGGTATTGGAGGCTGGAGCGCTGGTGCGTGTGGGAGGATGCCACCCGGGCACAAGCTGCAGCCATAAAATAGGGAGCCACTGCCAGGATTGCTGCAACAGCACAGGAAGGGTAGGGGAGCAACATCCTGCTTCTCTTTCCTTGTACTTTATGATCGCCTGCCATGAGCTGAGACTAGAGGGCAGGAGCAGCAGAAACGTAGTGTCCAGGTGTCCACCACCAGGAGCATGGAGCAGGGCCAGCGCAGAAGGGAAATCTCAGTGACCTGGGGAGGAGTCATGAGCACAGGTCACAGGCCAGGCATGGTTGGCTGTCCCTAATGGAGTGAACTAACCAGGGCGTTTCCCAAAGAACATAGAAAATTGAATTCAGAGAGTACTCTTTGGCACAAAAAATGATTTCAAAACCCATGCCACCGGGATCCCATATGGGTGCTGGTTCTAGTCTCAGCAACCCCACTTCCTATCCAGCTTTCTGTTTGTGGCCTGGGAAAGCAGTGGGGTTGGTCCCAAAGCCTTGTGACCCTGTACCTGCATGGGGGACCTGGAAGAGGTTCCTGGCACCTGGCTTCAAATCACCTCAACTCCAACCATTTTGGTCACTTGGGAAGTGAATTATCAGACAGAAGATCTTTGAATGTCTCTCCTCCTCTCTGTATATCTGACTTTCCAATGGGGGAAAAAAAAATCCATGCCTACAAAGGAACTTCAAAGGGTTGATGAAAAATGCATACTGTGAGAAATGACACACTATTTTCAAAGGAATTTTGCATCCAAATAAACATATTTGCCTCCATTTGCCCACAATTTTGTTGAAGTATCTGCATAGGTCTTAGCTTCCTGCAATGACTCCAGTTTAGACTTGTTGTATTGGCTTTCACTCTCAATGGCACTCTGCATCTCACAAAGATGCTTGCACAAACACCCTCAAATCCGATCCTATTTGGAAGACACATTATATCATCCTAGTTATTAGTTATGATCAAAGCATGCGAGAATCTGCTCTGTCACAGGAAGAAATTTCTAGAGAAAGAGTTGTGGCCCTTAGGACAGACAGAATCAAAGGAATGTTCCCCTCATTGACACAAAAGTTAGAGGCATACCCAGTCAGTGAGTGCACATTCAGAAAAGCACAGCTTCATCACATGCTTACTTTTCTGTATTTGTATTATACATCAATAACGGCATTGATTGTTTTCAAGCAGTGAAGACACATCACTTCCAGAATACAACGGCTTAGCCAGGCCAAAAACACAGATGAAAACTGTTTCCTCACAACATCTCAGCAGCTCTGTGAAGTGCTCTGCAGCAACCTACAACCTGGTAAGCTGGGCAGCAGGTGCACCCCGTACATGTATGAGAAATCCCCCAAGGAGGCCACAGGATTCAAGACACAGCTAAGTCCCCATCTCCAAAAACTCCACAGCGCAGCTTCCGTCTGGTTGCTTTGTCTGTTTAGCAAGCTTACCCCATGCCTCACCCTCTCTTTGCACCTGCCATCTAGAAGGACCTTTGAAATTTATTTTCTCCTTTTAGCCTGCTGTATTTTTAATGTTTGACTGAAAGAACAAAGGAAGGTGAACCCCAGACAAGATCGTTTCATTCCTCCACGAGCTGTTGTGAAGCCCAGCTCCAGCTCAGCTAACATAAATGTTTTAAAATTTTACCTCTGCCAAGGAACCTCTGCTGGTATAGGCATCACTGCCAAAGTCAGAGCCATGGTCTGGCCTTTCATTTGGTGACATAAAAGGCCTCCTCCCCCTATCAATCATTAACAACCTATTTGTGAACACAAGTGGCCCAGAGAAGTTTTCCTGGTCTGATTAACCGCAATGGAAGACATTCCTGTTGCCCAGCTGGCTGGCCAACCGCGTGACCAAGTTTTGCTGGCTGACTCCAGCTTTGAAAGGGCCTGCTGACTGCTCTTTCATCTCTCTCCGAGTAACAGATACCTGGTAGGCCTGCTTCCCTCCTCCCCGCACTGCAAAGTGATCCACCTGCCTCCTTGCACAGGCACTGACAATACCGATTGTGTCCACGTGGTGTGTGGGCCTGAAACCAGGGCTGTTTCATCTGCACACGTTAAAACAGAGAGAGTCTACAGGGCGCTTGAGGAGACATTTGTCTGCCTGGTGTTTTTGACTCTTGAATTTGATTGATTTTGATTTGAAGCGAAAAACCCAATCAACAGGAAGATTTTTTTAGTAAATCAATCAGAACCTGATTTTCTTAAAAGCTCATGTGGCTCGAAGGACACATACGTAGAAGTTTTCATAGAGAATTATAGATTCTAGCCTTTTAACTTAACAATAAAATGTATATAACATTACCCTGACCACACCACCCACTTTTATATGTCTAACGTAGCGGAATTAAAACCTTTCATAAGGATGCACAGCCCTTACCACCATCGGTGTCTGGAACTTCTTCCTTTTTCCCAATCTGAAACTCTGAATCTCAAACATTTACATTCCTTGTCCTCAGCCCCTGGAACCATCACTTTGTTGTATGAGGTTAATGACCCCGTGTAGCTCATGTACATGAAACAATCCAATGTTTGTCCTTCCACATCTGGCTTTCTTCCTTTACCACAGTCTCCTCAAGATTCATCCACGTTGTCACATTTTGTAATTTCCTTCCTCTTAAAGGATGTGCAATATTCCACAGTAAATGTTAACTGCGTGTTGGTCCTCAATCATCCAGTGGAAGATACTTAGCTTGTTCCTTTCAGCTGTGTGAATGATGTTCCCACACGCCTGGATGCACAGATAACCCTGCGAGCCTCGGCTTTCATCTCTTGCTGGTATATACCTAGACATAGATTCCTGGCTCATGTGGTAACTCTGTTTTAATTTTCCAGGAAATGCCATACCGTTTTACACATTGGCTTCTCCATTTCGTACTCCCACTGGCAGTAGCAAAGGATTCAATTCATTCACATTCTCACCAGCAAGTGTGACTTTCTAGATTTTTCTTTAACATAACCCTAGTCTTGATTTGGATACTAATTTATCACATGATCTTCTCCCAATAAGTATGACACTGGACACAAGATTCCTTGCCTAGAAACAAGAAGGTTGTAAAGCTCTCCGATCGCAACATTTCCATCCCAGTTTGACATTGATTCTTACTGTCTTCTTCCCAATGACTCAGTTTCTTATCTTGCTAATGGGGGAATAATCCTCACTCTCTGAAAGACCTGTTGTGCTAGTGAAACGAATCAGAGATGATAAAGTAACTTAAAGGGTGTTGGATGACTGTGAGGTGAAAGAGTAAAAGGCAGAGGAGGGAGAAGCACAGATACTTCGTGCGGGTAGATTTGCACACACAAGACTCTGGATACAATGGGAGGGGGGAAGAAGAAGGTTCAGCAGAGGAAATAAAAACCAGTGAAAGAGTCCTGCCCTCTGCAAGCTCAGTGTCTTTGGGGAAGCAGAACCATAACTGGATGAATAATGACACAGTGAGATTAATGCTTCAGCAAAAGCAATTCAGTCAAATGCCCTGCATGTTTATAACAGTAATAATTTAATATAGGGACCTGGTAACAATTGATAGAGGCAATAAGAAGCTGAAGCAGCTTAGAGAATAACAATAACAGGATGAAGGCAACACCCATTAACTGGAAAGAGGAAGGAAGAGGCAGGGCATGGGAACTGGGGATTCAGGGTGACCCAGAGAAACCTCAAGGCTGACTCGTAGAAACTGAAGTTATGGAGGTAATGTGGCTGCTTCTGGGGCAGAGAGAAAAGGGGAAGGTATCCTGGCTTCTCGCTCCTTCCCACCAGGGGTTGAATCCAGCTAGAGGTCATTTGACACAGACCCTGGGAAATGTGATCTACACCATTCCAGCTTCCTCCCTCTTCTGCAGATCAGAGTAGAAGGGAAGAAGACAGGTCTTCAAGAGAATCAAGATGAAAAAAGTCCCAGAAAACCTGGAAAGATGAAAGTATAGCCCAAAGCCAAGAGCAAGAAAGGCGTCTCAGGCCAAGATACAACATGATCCAAGGTTTATATAGAGGAAGTATGCCTAGCCTGGTCACACGGTGAAGGCATCGGTTTGGCCAAGCAGCACCTAACCTTGGTGAGTACATCCACTCCTGGCTATGCATATACATAGATCCACAGTCTTCCTGGAGCATGCCCTCAATCCCTGTCTGACCACTGCTGGGGATCTGTAATCTATTTATTCCTCAAAATCCATGAATGCTCTTTGATGTGGGAGCAAATGAATTTTCTAGCCCTCTCTAGATGCTTGATGTGGGGTCCTGATGCAGCCTGCTGTGCCGAAAGCAACTTTATCACTAAATCTAGAGAGGTAGTTCAAAGAGCCCCCAAAGAAGGGCTAAGAAAGCCAGGGCATCAGAGACACTCAAGGGACCTAATGGGTTCATGTCCATCCACAACCTCAACAAAGGGGCCTGATTTGGCAATGGGGTCTTGCAGATGTAATCAAGAAGAATCTTAAGATGAAATCTGCCTAGACTGAGACTGGTACCCTTAGGGGAAGGGGAGAAGACAAGGAGAGGCACACAGACACTAAGGCCATGCACAGATGGAGACAGAGACTGGAATGATGGTGCCACAAGCCCAAGGACACCTGCTCCCTCACCTCCCAGCCCCTAGAAGCTGGAAGAAATACAGAAGGGTGTGTCTCCCTGCAGCACTGAGAGAGGGCATGGCTTTGCTGACGCCATGATTTGGGGCTTCCAGCCTCCAGATCGGGGGGAGAAGACATCACTGCTGATGTTCAGTGACTCTGTCCATGGTGATTTGCTATGGCAGCTCTAGAAAATCTATATAACAATAGCCAGGACTGCACAGCATTGAACAGCTCATACTGCAAAATCTCAGCATCACCTGGTGCCAATTTGTGGGTTCCAGATAGGAACTGAAGGCCCTATGGTTCCAGACAAAGTCATTTCTCAATATCAGTGCTCCTATCACTGAGTTCTACATTCTTTCCCCTCAAGACCTTTCCTCAAAGAAGCAGAGAATACACAGGCAGGTGGAGAATGTCCTTTGCCTGTCCTATGTCCCCCTCCTAGCTCCCTTCTCTCCTGCCCATAACTCTAGTCCGTTCACACTTCCCCAAACACCTCAAATCACCCTGCCTTGTTTGGCTACTGTAACCTCTGCCAAAATCCATATTTAGTTGTTGAAATTTCCTTGCCTAGGCACCTCTGAAGCTAACGATGGAATCTTTGAAAATGACATTAGAAGCAAAACACAAACAGCAGAAGACATGAAGCTACCTCGAGTCCATCTGTTCAAGAGCAATCCACTCAGAGCTCCCATTTCCCATGTAAAACAGAAGATGTGATTTATAATTTATATCTCACTGGTACAACCCTGATTGAAGCAAAGCACTTTGATGCAATGTTGGTTTCATGCTAGTGGAACACCATTCCAAATCAGAGAATATTTAGAACTCTAACTCCTCTGCTGCTACTTTGAAGTAGGAAGATTTGTATTTTATGTGCTTTGCTGAAAAAAAAAAGGAAAAAAATACCTACACTTCAACATGCATGTGGTGGAAATGTGAAAACATTCATGTGTGAATCAGCACCAAAATGTAATTACTGCACTAAGCGTTGAAAATATTTATAGACTCATATCTCATGCCGAAGACCTGGTTTCAATAACTCTCAGAAAATTGTGAAATTCATACTTTGTTTTCTTGGGACTAACCTAATTTATTTGAAATCTGCAACATATGAAGGACAGAATCAAAGAATGTCAACTTTCCATCACCTCAGCTAATGATCTAATAAAGATGCCATGCATGTGGGTTGTGTGTGCATACCAGTGTGTGATCGTCTCTCGTAGAGACAGAGAGAAAAAGATAGAAGGAGAATACATTGAATTTTGGAAGACAGTTCACCCATTCTTACAGAAATGAGGGGATACATTTATCACAATACAACTAAACTATCAATCAAGCTCAATCTTGCATTTTTGTCAGGACAATACTAGCCAACTTCTGGATCAGCAATTGGTGCTGACTGAATCCCTGGGTCCCAGGTTTTGTGCCATGGACAGGCAGCTCCCTCTTATGGAATGTGTGTTCCAGCGAAGCACCAGACACCACACAAACATGCAACAAACCTTTATAAAAGCCCCAGTGAAGTTTTTTTTTTAAGATTTATTTATTTATTGGAAAATCAGATATACAGAGAGGAGGAGAGACAGAGAGGAAGATCTTCCATCTGATGATTCACTCCCCAAGTGAGCGCAACGGCCAATGCTATGCTGATCCAAAGCCAGGATCCAGGAACTTCTTTCGGGCATCCCACACGGGTGCAGGGTCCCAAGGCTTTGGGCCATCCTCGACTGCTTTCCCAGGCCACAAGCAGGGAGCTGGATGGGAAGTGGAGCAGCCGGGATTAGAACTGGCGCCCATATGGGATCCCGGCGCATTCAAGGCGAGGACTTTAGCCACTAGGCCACGCCGCCGGGCCCCCCAGTGAAAATTTTAAATCCAGGTGAGGAGATAGAGAGCACTTTCAGGGGAGGAGACTTTCAGAGGGAGGACATTGGAGCTGTCACCTGAATTCAGTTAGCGAGAAAACAATGCAAAGACCCAGGCAATAACCATTCCAATCAACCAAAACAGCAGTGCAAAGGGCCTGGGGTTGCAACAAGCTCAGGTTAGAATAGCAATAAAGCTGATAAAGTTGATGAGAGTAGAGCAGGATGAGTGGAGAGTGACAATCAGGTCAGGGAGAAGAGTTTCCAAATCCACACCCAGAAAGGGTAAATCAGATGACTGCAAGTGGAGTTAACAACCACATGAGAAAAGTTGTGACTGCAAGCTTCTGTGGTTTCTGGGCATCTGGGGAGGAATGGAAGGCTTCTGTCACTCACGAAATCACAATGCGCATGACAAGCCCATGGAAAAGGGGAACACAAAGGCTTTACCTCCAATCTGGATTAAGCTGGTTTAAGAAACATTCAATCCTTCAACGGTTATTGACAGAGGGCCAGCAATAGGCTGTAGGTTGTGTGAGCACACAGCTGAGCAAAAGCAAAACTGATTAGAGGAGAGGGGAAAAAAATACACCTGGCAAGCCAAAATTGCACTCTTACTGAAGAGCAAAGAGATTAGGTGAAAAAAAAATAAGAGAAAATTTAGGGAATGCAGATGGGGGCTTCTGCAAATGTCTGGTCCAAGAGAGAAGTTGCTGCTTCTGCCAGGAGGAGAGGGAGAAAAGAGTGATCAGCTTTGAGAAAGAGACTTAGGAAGGTCATGACGGTCCTGGGAGGCTTCTGGGAGGTATACCTGTTGACTTGTTTCAACCAAAGTGTGAGCAGAGGTGATACAACCATTGCAGGTGGAATCTGCAAGCCAGTGAGTGAGCGGATGAATCGTTTCCCTTGGCCATGAAATCTGCCACCATTTTTAAACTGCAGCTCGTTGTTACCCTGGGTCCCCCATGCATGGTCCAGAACAGGGTCTCAGCTAGTCCATAGACCACATAGAGTGAACAAGAAACAGACTTCTGCTATCTGAAGTCCCTAAGATGAGGGGAGCATCTTGGACTACAGTAAAGCTTAGCCTATGCGGAGGAGGCAGAATTCAAGGTGTTTCTCAAGCACAACAGAGTCCTTGGCTCATCAGCCCCTCCCAGCTCGGTCTGATGTGATTCAGGGTGCCAAGAAGGAAAGTGAATCTATCTTCAGCAAATGTGGCCTTTAATGCTAGCAAAGCGCTTTGAAGATGAAAAGTTCTCTGCAAGTGCTAAGCATTATTATTCTGTATCCAATGTCAGCAGGCACTTAAAAAAATTCAATTAGACTGCCTTGCCATTGTTTTATGATGCAACCATCAGGCATTTCAAAGGGGTCAAATCATGGCAGGCATATTTAACTCCTAGTAGGACCAGAAAGTAATTGGAGTGAGCTGGCCAATGGTTCAAAAACTAAAAGGCCGAGTGTTCGTTTAGTGGTGTGCCTCATGGGCAAGGGTGGCCCCATGAGGATAACGGAGTTAGAGTGATCATTTAAAGAATACAGGAGGTCAGATTAGAAAGTGCAAAGACTGCAGCATTGGTGTGTGTGAACTAGCAAGTCGGGGACCAGAAACCGTGGACACACACACATCCTTAGGCACAGATGCTTCTCAAATTAAAGCATCTCAGGGCTGGTGAGCTGAGCTGGAAGCTGGGATGCCATTCGTCTCAGCCCTGTCACCCTGATTTTACTCCTGCTGTTAAACAACTTCAATAGTTGTCTTGTTTGCAAGTGTCTTACTTACCAAAACGGGAGAAGGGGATAAGAAGGAAGAGGACCACATGAGGAAGGGGAGGAAGGCACACTTGGTATTATCAGGTGATTGGGATGAGCCAATGGATAGATGTCTGCAGGTATCTTGTCCATGCCCAAGTTTCTACAGTTTAAAAAGTATGGGAACTGGGATGCAATTCAAATCAGACTACATGCATAGATGCACAAAGCAAAAGTGGCTAATCTATTCTCTGTCAGTGACTTCATCCTTACCACAGCAATTGTCACTGGCAGTGTGTGTGGGATGGTGAATCAGAAATGAATATTGTCAGCTTACTAGTTAAAAATGACTCCACTTCTTCTGTTGGAAGCATTTCAGTTAATATCACCTCTTACTGTCCTTATGTTTGTGGGATGGGGAAGTTAAGCAGATCTTACCTTCATCTGCTCTGTAAGAGGTACTTGTTGCTGGGGACATGATGGCTGCTCAGCTTTGTTCCCATGACTCGCCCAGCTGCATGGTCCAGGTGAGGTGGATGAAGCTTAGCTGCAGAATGGGGCCCTGGCAAGGGGACAGTCAGACAGCCTGTGACCAAGCACCTGTCTCTGATGTGCGCACACCTTTCCTGACTGCAGGAAGTGGCCTTCTACTCTTTCTTCTCCTCCGGGGCGAATTCCTCTACCTTGGGGCGTCTCCTTCTCAAGGTGCCATTCACCCTTCACCAGAGCTATGATGGCAGACTGGTGTGCAGGAAGCATGATTTATAGGGGGTCTGGATGCAGAATACAGGCATTTAATATCCTCAAAATATTTTCCCAACTTGTGAGAGGGCCAATTCTTTTGGACAAGGGTTTATTTTGTCTCATAAAATACAGGTATGGTTAGGAGATGTAAGGCAAAAAATATGTGCTTTTTCAATCACCAGTGGATAATTGGAGTTTGTTAGGTGGTTCATGCAATCCAAAGACTTCATTTCCCAGACTCATTCATCCGCTCAGCTGGTCTGCTCATTACATGCATCCACACCCCAGCACAACCCTGGGCCCTGAGGATCAGAAACTATCAAGAGGCCCTAAGAGCATGCGATCCATGACTGCTGTGAGAAGTGCCACAAAGGTAGAGTACAGGGTGTTCTGTGAATGCTGGAGATAGGCAAGGGGACCAGGGATGCCTACCAAAGCAGATGACAAGTGGTATGAATGGACACAAAGAGGTTTACAAAGAGGAAGGCTATGGAGACGCAGGGATGGAGAGGAGAGGCAATCACAACACAAGAGACAGCAGGTGCAGTGGTCCCGATATGGGAGGGAGCCCCCAGAGATCCTTCTCTAAGTGATCTCTCCAAGCAAGAGTGAACAGTGAGTCGTAGAAAGGTCCTGGAAGAGTGAGGCTAAAGGAAAGGGCATGAAAACAGGCAGCTTAACAAAGTCACCTCCAGGTTTTGGAACCTCATTCTGATTGTTTCCAAACTGATGATCTTAAGGCAACTTAGCCAGCTCTGTGCATTTGCCAGCTCCTCTCTGGCCTTCCTAAAGGAAGATTGGCTGGAAGAACCTTCATGCCTGCCCCGTCCTGCCTTGTGATGAAACAGACCTGGGCCTGGGTGCTAGGGTGCTAGGGTAACTGTTACCTTGCCTTCCAGAAACCCTACTACCAGCAGATCTCAGCACTGGGAACTCTCAAAGCTTCCACTCTCACGCCAGCACCTAGCCAGCCTCCATATGGGGACACACACTCCAGAGCTCAGAGGCATGCTAATTGCTGTTTCCAAATCCACCAGTTGCCCTGCACAGGAGTAGCCAAAATGATCTCTTCTGCCAGCAAATACTATCATGTGACTCCCAGCTTTGCAAATTTCCAAGGTGCCCTAGCTCTCAGGAGAAGGAAAAGAGGTTCTTGATCCAACCTACAGGAATTGGGGAGATCCAGCTATGGCTACGAAGATCCACCACTCTGGCCACATACTCTAAACAAGCTCCCCTTCCCACTGCATTAGAATGCTGGGTCTTCTCTCTAAGTCCCTGGGAGGGGCTGTGCTCTCGCCTGCCCAACATCCACCCCGGGCTTCGCTGCCCTTTTCTCTGAATGCCTGACAGTTCAGCTTCCCAGTCACCCCTTCTGTCACCCTCCCTTGAAGGGGTCACATTGTCTTGAGGCCTTCTACCCCAACCTGGATTTGAGCTCCTTGAGAGCAAAGTGGAGAAGGCAATCATAGGACAGGGACCAAGGCTCAGATGGACTGCTGCACAAATACTAGGTGAAGGGATGTACAAACGGCTGCAATGGGAATGAAAGACAGAAATGGCCACCTTCCCAGCATCCTTGGACAATGACCTGGAAGGCTTGGCATGAGCTGCCCTCCTTGTCCAGTCCTTTGCTCCCCTGAGCTCTTTGCTCCCAGCTCTCTAGCACACCTGACTCTGGCCTCCCTGGTATTCTTGGAATTCTGGCTTCCTAGAGTTCTGCAATATGCCAGCTAATGCTTCAGCCCCAGAGCCTTTGCTCTTGCTGCTTCTTGTGCCTGGAATTCTCCACTGCTAAATATCCAGCTGACTGCTTCCATCCTCTCTTTCCTT